TTGTACATGCCACAAATAGTGCACCTCAGCCTTGTTGCTAATTGTTTCATTATGTGTGTAGATTTTCATCTTCATCTGAACAGAAAATTGTATGTCTTTCAATTATGTTAGTGGAGTTTCTTGTACTTACGTATCAGAGTGCATCTCACCCCTCAGGAAAATGAAGGGAAAAAAATAAAGAGAAGAAAAGAAACATAAAACCGGATAAAAAGGGAAACAAATTTTAAGGGATTATCTCATCCTTTTAAAAAAATCATGCATTTCCTTCTTATGGTGGGATTAACAAAGCACCTCACAAATGCCACAGCATGTAACATACTACACGTCATGTACAGTGACTCTTCTTGCCATCTCATGATGCAGTTGATATGTAGGTGATTCCCCTTATATTTTTGGCAAAGTTTCTTAAATTCCATTTCGACTTTCTACTGCACAGAACAGAAGAACATTCTTGTCCTCTAATACTTGATTTCTCCATTTTACCTTGATAAACATGTTTTTACGAATACAGACTATGCCAAGTAGGCATGCCGAGTCTTATGGATGCTCCAAAATCTACATTAGGCTAAATCCTGAAGATACTTATGTAAAGCTCAAACCAGTACCAACCAAATATGTGTAAGACCTGATAACCTAGCCTTTCTCACATACACTCAAATCGCTTTTCTCCACCCTCTAGTTTTGCTCACATCTTGGCTTCCTTTTTTTTAAAATGTGTTTTAGTCTACAGTAATTGTTTATTTTAATATCGTTGGTTTGATATTGGCGATTGATTTAACTAGCTGATAGCTGTGTTATTGTTTCATTATCTTTCTCTTTCCTTGAACAGGTGCTTGCTGTATCACGTGTCATGGTTGCATGGCAGCCTATTGGCATTACAATGGGTGTTTATGATATGTGTCACAGGTAACAATAGATAAGCTCATCAGTTTTTGTTTATCATAAAATGGAAGTTGTTGTGGCATGCTTCATATCATGGACTTTGACCTAATTAATATTTAGTGAAGTAAGGAAGCTGAGTTTTGAGACTGGTATTCTGTGTTGTGCCGTGGTAGAAAAAGAAGTACTTAACCATCCTCTATTCAAGATTCCTTTGATAGATTCCTTTCTCCAGACAACTGCATATTGTAGTCTCACAGTATAACAGATGATTTGTCATGTAACTTTTACTGATATTCATTGTTCTTTAAACGAGATAGTCTGATCAAAGTGTGTGACCATCTAAAAGCTTATGATGATAGAGAAACACAGTTTTAATTACTTAATTATATCTTCAACACGTCCCCTTACGTGCGGGTTTGATTTTTTTCATGAGTCAAGCACGTGGAAATTCTTTTTGATAATAGATAGAGGTGAGACTCGAACCTAGGACCTCTGCTTCGATACCATGTCAAAGTGTGAGACCGTTCATCTAAAAGCTTAAGCTGATAGAGAGAACATTTTCAATTACTTAAATATGTCTTCAACAAGTCTAATAACGTGGAAGTTCTTAGACTAACCAATGAGAATGATGTAAGACCCTCTCTGAAAGTAAATAGATGTTAGTTCGTATGAGCTCTTTAGCCATATGGCTCACCATAAGAACTTGTATGAGCCTTCCATTATCCCCTCTCCTTTGTCAATGTTATTCTAGAGTTCCCTTTTTCAGACTTTTGTGTTGGCTAAATTTTCTGTGAAACTCCAAGGTACTTGAAGGAGAGGAAGCAGTTTGGAGCTCCATTGGCCGCTTTCCAGATCAACCAACAGAAATTGGTTCAGATGTTGGGCAACATTCAGGCAATGATTCTTGTCGGTTGGCGGCTTTGCAAGCTATATGAGAGTGGTAAAATGACTCCTGGCCATGCAAGCTTGGGGAAAGTAAGTCCTCTTTCTTCACATTATTAAATGTTTGATACATGCCCTTTTGGACTGAGTAACAAATTGTTTGCTTCAGTCATGGATTACTTTGAGGGCCAGAGAGACAGTTTCTCTTGGACGGGAATTACTAGGTGGCAATGGAATCTTGGCTGAGTTTTTAGTTGCAAAGGTTTGTGAACAATATCCGAATGCTCCCTGCCCTGTTAGATACAAAACATGGAACATTTAGCGCTATGAAATTTCACTCGCAAATCATGTAGAGATATCATTTAATGCTTGCAGCTTACTTTATTATGCTCTCATGCTTTCCATTTCATTCTTGGCGTGCAGGCATTTTGCGATTTGGAGCCCATCTACACATATGAAGGTACTTACGATATCAACACGTTGGTAACAGGCAGAGAAATTACTGGTCTTGCCAGTTTCAAGCCTGCACCATTGAGGCAAAAGAGTCGCCTGTAACAATCTTCCTTCCATCTGTTTTAGCACCTGTAACTCTGGAATACTTATAGGCAAAGAAAGAACTACTTAAGAATTTAAATTCCGTGGAGATTTTTTAACGTTAATAACTGCAACGAAGTTAGTTTACCACATATTGTAATAATGGCAACCTATATATGATTCAACTTTGTTTTATTCAAGAAAATCTGATGATGGAAATTAGCTACTAATCTTTCTCACTTGGAATACATGCAGTTATCTGTTGCTTGCATATATAGGGTTTTTCATAACTTTTTTTTTTGGGNATTAAAGGGTGATTTGCTCCCTATTACGTTAGCATAAGACCCATTAAGAGGGAATTGCACCCTACTAGGAATATTAGTTGTATGAAGTAGGAAAACCATCTGAAAAAACATATAATTGAGTTTGTCAAGTTTGAAAAATTAAATTTCTTTAGCAATTCATCTAACCACTTGTCTAGAAAAATTTGTAAAAATAGCACGGGCTAGCCAGTTTTCGGACTGATCATTCAAAAATAGTCAGTGTTTGTAAAGTCATTGAAAAATAGCCATTGTTTTGCTGCAACACGGAAAGTTCCAGCATAATATACTGGAGATCGGTGCACCTGTGTATGAACTTCCAGCATATTATGCTAGAACTCTAAACTCCAACACGCGGAAAGTTCTAGTATATTATGCTGGACCGGTATATTATACTGAAACTCCAGTATATTATACTGGAGTATTTTTTCGGATTTTGAACAGTGTTTTCGTTCAAATTTATCTTTATATGAAAAGTGATTAAATTTCGATTACTTTTGAAACTGTAGCTATTTTTGAATGACCACTGGTAAATCTGGCGATTTTTGAATTTCTCCCGAAAAATTTATACTCCAGTTTAACATGATAGTGCTAACATCAAAATGTAGGGCATATCAGTCGAAGAATTAGTTTAGTCAAGTTGAAGTCTGTTTGCTCAAACTTGTGGAACCTATTTTTTGACGAAACCTACTTATGTTAAATAGAATTTTGCGTCAAATGAAAATTACTTTAAGATAGTAATAATTTGTGTTTATTCAAATTATTTAAAAACACTTTTATTAGTAGATTAGAAAACGATTTGTGTCATATCCTTTTTTTGGCGCAAATTACAAAAAAGGACACGTAAAAGTATTTTTAGAACTAGTATTACTTAGAGATAAATGATTTGAAATATTTATTATGAGAAACTTTAAAATTAAAATCACGAGAGAGAGAGAGAGAGAACAAGTTTATGAGACTCTGATCATAGATGTGGGGACAACGTTACATGAGATTAGTTTTGTGTTGAAATTTTTTAAAAATACTTCCTATAAGAAAAGTATTTGTAACCAATAACAACGACAAAGGAAATTAAAAATGAAAAGAATTATCCAAAATAAGTTACTCCCTCTGTTTACTTTTACTTGTCCAGTATTCTAAAAATGAATTTTCACTTTTCCTTGTCACTTGTAGCATATCAAGAGAGACAACTTCTTTTTTGTTATACCCACATAATTTAATTACTCATTTCAAATCATTTTCTCAAATCCATTAAAAATATGCATCAATTAGTATGAGTATCATAGTAAATTATGCACTTCATTTTTTTTAAGAGGTGTTCAAAATACATATTGGATAAGTAAAAGTTAACGGAGGGAGTACTATTTAGGTACACCCATTAAAAAGTAAAGAATAAAAGCGCATTTTCAAACTATTTAGTCCCACAGAAAATTTGGAAAAGAAAAAAAGAACTATTTTTTTCCTGATCGAAACCGTTGCTTCCTAGATGGACTCATCCCTTCAAATATTTAGCTCGTCCAATTCAATAATATGGTACTATTTTTTTACCTTAACTTTTTTTTATTTCTCAGACAAAAATTTGAAACTGAGGGGGAAGGAAAAGCTACAACTAATAATTAACGTGTTTAGATTAAATCATATAATTTAACCATACAAAATTGAAAATTAAGAAAAAAAAATATATATCACCTAAACATAGTTAAGTAATAAGCATTGATTTAGACATATCGGACACAAATAAATTTTTATCATAATAATCTAGAAACAATAATATTATTACCAGATAAGAACAAATGTTGATCCAGGACCTAAAAGATATCATCACTTTTGATAAAGGTAACCGCAAGGGCTTTTTTTACTTTTGGTCCGTGTTAAAAATTATTTACATTCATTAGTCAAAAAAGTACATAAATTTTATATAATATATATATNTCGTAGGGAATTCAACGTGAGCACGGGTTTCTACCAGAAACCCACAGAGGAAAGCAAAACAAAAAACTCATGTTCCTCGTCTTATAAAACAACGGTGGTGGTGCATGTATTAATAAAAGTTGTCGAGGGAGGTGCATTCATGTACTAAAACCTAGATCCAAACTGCACCGCTAACCGAGCGGCGCTGCAATATTTGCATATTTAGACAGAGCCATAGACCTAACACTTATTTATAATGAGGTAATAATTTGACGAATTATATTGTCCACTTAATCTTTGCTTTATCGCCCTAAAATTGTTAAACTATATTTGTAAAATAAAAATAGGCATTCAACTTTATCAAAGAATCACAAAAAAGGGTGTTTATATTTATGGTTTGTGTGATGAGGTCAGAGTTTCAATCTTTTGGCTCCGGACTTTAATCGCCCCTTAAGTTTTTAAGGGGTTGAGTTCTAAATTAATAATTTATACATATTCAATAAATTTTTTAAGATAGATACATAATTCGAACCAAAATTATTGAGCTCGACCAAACCCGCTCTCGACACTCTAGTTCCCTCCCTCCACGGTAGGAAATGCCTGATAAATGCCTGATAAAATATACTCCAAACGATTCTTGAAGTACACACTAACTATTACAAAAGCTTGGCTTCCTATAGAAACTACCACAAAATTTTGGAAGCCTCAAAAGAAAACAAACTCGCTAGCTAATTAGTGTCTAAAAATCATAAAATCCGTGATTAACTACCAGCCATTTGAAGCTTCATTCTGCTGCCTCTCAGCTTCTCTTTGCATTCCCATCATCCTCAGCCTTAACTGAAGCTGAGCTGCAGCTGTTAAAAACCTCAGACTTTGCAAAGGACTCAGTAATCCTACCACTCTTTCAGCTGTTCTTGTCCTCAATCTATCAGCATCTGTCACCACATTTTCCATGGCTGACTTCAATGTCTCTATGTTTTCATCCCCATCTGTGATTTCAATATTTATGCCGTCAGTGTGTAGAAGTTGCATTCCTACTCGCCGTGCCATTTCAATCAACGGTGGTGCCGCCACGCTCTCTTGAATTTTTGCCAACTCATCCGTCAGAGATTTTTCTTCGACCTGTTGATGATATAATTAAATAATTAAAAGTATGCTCGAGTGCTTAAACTTTAAGATGACACCATCACACAATAAAAAAATAAAAAAAAGTCAAACTCGCACGTGAGCCATGTTAAGACATTAGTTAACTAATTAAAAAAGGGCTTAACTAATATTCATGGATGGTATAAAAAAAATTATACTATCATATCATAATATTTTATAGTACTCCTAGTAATTAGTAATCTACATATTATTTTTCAAGATCGCAAATGACACTTTATTTATGAAAAATTATTTATAAATATCTTTTAAGTGACCAAATAGTATGCTTATAACATATGTGTATTAAACTGTCAAAAAGGTAAGATCTATCCAACCGCTTAAGATTTTTAAAGGAGATGAACAAACCTTGGTCTCGTATCTCAGCCTGTTGATTCTCTGGACTTGATTTTCACTCAAATCATTAACCGAATCGGTAACCAGGGTAAAAGCTAACCCTGGTTTGAACCCAGTAATCCAAAGGAAAGTCCTCTCAAGTGGAGTAAACCAAGTAGGTGAGAAGACGTGAAAAACATTTCTATGAGACATTCTTGATTTTTCTTCATAGTATTCTTGATAATGAGCTAAAACTCGTGAAATAAGATCTCTAATAGCACCCTCTTGTGTTTCTTCATCAAAAGTGTCCTGTGCTACAAGTAGTTCATCTAAAAATTGTTCTTGCCTAATTAACCAACCTTCTAAAAAACCCCCAAATAAATTATCATCATAACTTCTTCTAAAGGACCCAGCTGGCATCTTTGATTAGTTCCCTTCAGTACAAAGGCAAGTTCAAAAAGAAAGAGAAGTAGAGAAGAGAAGAATAAAGGGAAAGGGATGAGGAAACTAGTGAACGATTGTGTATGTATATATAAATTAAAAGAAGGTGCTATGATCATGGAAATTTCCTCTCTTTTTTTTATGAATTTTTTTTTTATTGTTCTCTTTTGGTCAGAGTTTTGCTTGGTGGGAAAGAATTCTATGGATGCTTCAAGACTAAGGTTATATTAATTAAAACATGGAACTAAATAGAGGTTATTAGAGAGGAAATAGTGAGGATAAAATACCACTTGGCAGTCCGACTTGGCTTCATTAAAAATCATGAGTTTTAATTGAAATAATGAAATAAATAGCCAATGATATGTTTACACCCAAAGTGAGCCGAAGTCGGAAGTAAAGTCCATTTGTGAGGGGAATGGGAGGGGCGTGGGTGTAAGTCGGTGGCTTTTGTCTTATATAGTAAGAAAAAAGCAGGAGGTGTTGCTTTCCAAACGAAGAGCTTAATATTTAGTGTGTAGCCAAAGAGGATCGACGAGGGTTCTTGTCACGACGACGTGGATCAATATTTAAGAGTGCAAGTAAATGCCATCAGATTCAACTATTAGCTAGGTCGCGTCTAGACTATGTGGTCACCAATATTACACTCAGTTCTCAATTGTGGCGACCATACTCTTTTAAATAGACTTTCAGTATATAAAATACATTTCAAAATAGAATTTTACTATATAAAAAATATATTAAATAGATTGTCACTATACAAAATATATACAAAATAGACATTTTGAATTATTAAATATAATATATTTGGGCCGGAGAAATATTTTGTATCAATGGGAAAAAATATTTTGACGGGCTATAAAGACTCATTTTCTCGATCATCAAACCATGCGATAAGAAGCAAGCGCCGAAGATGGGAAGCCCATGCAAGAAACGCAAGGAAAACTAAGCTTTCTACGAACTCTGCTAGCCGGAAACATTCAGCAGGAAGAAACTGAAAACATAATTAATATCCACTTGTCCTCGTCACAGTATAGCTTTTCTCAACTTAGCTTATCTTGTATGTGTGAGAACAAAATTCACAATCGTAAGTAAAAAAGAAAAAGAAGCTAGTATAAGGAGTTAGTACGCTTTTAACAGTGTGAGGCTTTCGAAACAAATTGTGCAACCTTTGACCCAAAATGAAGAATATTTATAGGATTAGTTACATTCTATAGCAAATGTTGATATTTTATTTATTTTAAATAAATATTTAAAAAAAAATATTTCATAGCTACCTTTTGATTTTTTATAGCCAAATATTTATTTATGGTCACCACTTACCCTTAAACCATAAAATAAGCTTTGTATTATTTTTCTCTCTCATATCCCCTCAAATTTCTCTTATCCCCTACCCCATATCTATTCTCCCTCTCTCTCTCTCTCTCTCTCTACTTCCCGATGTCTTCTCCTCCGCCGGACGCTGGAGCAATTGCCACCGTCACCGTTTCGACCGTGGCCGTTATTCATTGATACCGCCACCCTCAGCCTCCCAATCTCATTCTCTGATGCAACATATCAAATCAATAAAAACCTTCGTTATTTCGCTGGTAATTACGTGCTAATCGTCGGCAACCCGTATATTTACCTTACGGAACTCAAAATATATGACCTTGAGTTTTCTGGTTTTCATCTTTATAAGATGTCTCAGGAAATTACACATAATCGAAGGACAAAATGCATTAAAGCGCAACTTGAAGTAGGTCAAGGAGTTGTAGCGTTAGAGATTCAAAATATTCATCTTCGTTCTGGAAAGCTTTTCATTGTTAAACAATTTTATTGTGATATCTGATGGTAGTTAGATTCCTTTTTTTCTTCTTCTTTTGGTGGTCCTCTCTCGAGGCAACGGTGACGACGAGCGAGGATTAGATACTGATGTTGCTTTAACGAGACGACATTAAGGTTGTTCTTGAACAAAGACGACGGAGTTGGGGGCTGAGCAACTTAAATTTCTGTTAATATATTTCAATGTATCTCGTTGTATTTCATTGTATTCATTATCTTTTTTCATTGTATTTCAATGTATTTTGCTTTATTCTATGTATTTCATTATATTCATTATCTTTTTTTCCATTATATTTCAATGTATCCCACTGCATTCTATGTATTTTATTGTATTCACTGTCTTGCTATATTCCATGAATTTATTCGTATGTTTTTTTTAATTAATATAATTTATGTATTCAGATGTATTATATAATTTCTCTGAAGATTGCTATGTTTTTGGGGTGTTTTTCGGTTGAGAATCTTTTTTATAACTGGAAATACAAAATTTGTGTGTTATAATTAAGTTTGTTGAGTTATATTAGGAGTCTATTATGTTAATTAATTCACTTTCCGTTTAAAAATAGTGTAATTCCCTATTTCACGCCGTGAATACAGTCGAATACAATAATCTGTCCAGCTGTAATCCCATGTTTCACGCCATGAATACAGTCGAATACAAAAATTTATCTAGCTGTAATCCTCTATTTCATGCCTAGAAATGCTATTGTATTCATGAATACAGTATCTTAAATATATCGAGTATGCTCTAAAAAATCTGAAAACATAGCTATAGGAAGTAATATAGTAAATGGTAGCTACAACTAGCTATTAACCACTAAAACATAGTGGTTTCTGAAAGTTTCTCATATTTATACTATGCTAAGACTATTTTTAGGCTGTTTTAGCCCAATAATTAATAGTAGATCCAATAGTTTAGCGGAACGTGTATGGAGATGGCGTAGTGCGTCTTGAGGGCCTCACTTCCCGTCTATGTGCCGGTTTACTACCTGTAGTGTTACACCCCACGTTTTCATACGTGAGAGTATGTCGTAAGCCATTGAGGTAAGCTCGGAAATTAGGTTATTTTTGGAAGAAAATAAAGTAAGTTAATCATGTTACCTTGGAGGTTACAAATATTTAAGATCATGAATAGTGGGTACCAAGAGGTTTGGAAAGCTTAGAAGCTAAACCAATTGAAGAAAATAAGTTTCGTCGAAAGTTGACAAGTTTAGAATGTTATAACATGTACTTTGGGGTGAGACTAGGGTTCTTAAGATGATAAGGAGGTTATGCTATGAGTTATTTTAGTCGTATGATAGTCATTTTCTACATTTTGAAGGCAAGCAAGTTGTGGAACAAGAGTTGGCAAAGGTCATCAAAAGTTATGTTCATAAATTTGCTGAAAATTAGGTCAAATGTAGCTGAGTTTTTCTCCAAATATACTTGGAATTATGGGGTGATCTACCTACAAAATTGATATATACGAGTCTAGTTTCTAAATCATTAAACCGTTTGTCGATACGATATTGGAGTAGAGAGATATTCGCGTTTTCGCGAGACCGTGCAAGCAGCTCCAATGGACCCACTTAGGCGGTGGTTGACCTACTTCACTTTATAAACGATTTGGATGCCTATTTTTAACTCATTTTCAACACAAATTCGTCTCCAAACTTCTCCCAACCCTTCTAAACAGATACCACAAGGGTTTGAAGTGATTCCAAAGTGATTACACCATATTTCAACATCAAAACTTAGTTCTAGTGAAGAACAACACCTCTTTGAGGTTGTGTTGTCATTGAGGATTGTTGTGGGCTGTGTTTTGCTGAAAGATTCCAAGTTGTTGCTACTGGCTAAGGTGTGTATAACATCCTACTAATTGTGCTTAAGCTTGCTTGTATGTTTGTTAAGTTGTTAGGATGATAAACTACAAGATAATACTTGGATTAGCTTAAGTCACTTCTATGGTGTTGTATTGCCATTGAGGTTTGTTGTGAGCTGAATATTACTTGAATTTTGACTTGAAGTTACTGTAGGAGGTATGTATATTGTGTTCTTGCATGTGCTTAAGGTTATCTTGATGTTGATTAAGTTAAATGGATGGAGCAGACATGAACTAGTGAATAAAGTTACTAATTTAAGATAGTTGGAGTTGAGGATTATTTCCTTTGTTACAAATATATGGTATAAGGATGGAATCATTGATGAATGACTTCATTATCATGTTAATGATACTGTTAAGTTAATTTAAGAAGTCTATAAGGGGTTATATGGTTTATACAGATTCCAATCGGAGCTTGCCGCTTGTCGTGAAGTAGTTGTGACTTGTCGTTGTTATATGGTGTCTTGTTATTGATATTTATATGTTGATGGATTTATTTGGTTGTTTTTGTTGGTATATGGTGTTGGCGGAGGCCCTAATATAGGGGAGATGCTGCCCGAATTTACGTAAATGAGCTACTAGCTTAAGTTACAGACTTAGCCTTTGCTCAACACTAATTTTGAATCTCCTTATACGATGATAGATGGAGTGACTTGTTTGAAGAGTTGCTTGGAAGATTTTAAGGACTCAATGGGTTTAAGGTATGTTAAGGCACTTCCTTCTTTCTTTTGGCATGATCTAAAGTGAAATGAATACGCTATTTCATAACGGATCTACTCCTAGCAACTAAGGTTGTCCATGTTGTTCTTTCCTTATAAAATTATTCTAAGTAAGTGTGTATGATCTTTGAATCCTACTGAGGTTCATATTGAGGGTATGGATGTCCATAATGTTAATCAAAGGTACAACAACCTTAAGTCACTCCAAAAGGTTTAGAACGTGATTCCATGAGTCTAGCATGCATTATATATAGAATCTATTTTACTCTACCGAGCCGCGCTATAGTCGGCCGGGTACGACATCTATTGTGCAACACTGATCATTTGGGTTTACCGAGCTCCACGTGGTCGGGTACGATTCTACCGAGCCTTATGATGGCCGGGTACATTTATACCGAGTCCTCTTTGTGAGCACGTGATTTTTGCCCTATAGGAATTACTCCCATAAAATAAAAGAAAAATAATTTTTTCCATTTTTACAATTTTTATAGGATTCTGTGGGAATTTGTGCTAATTGTTTGCATTTCTGTGTATGTTTATTTTGTTAAAAATCATAAAAAATACCAAAAATATCATGCATTGCATTTAGGTTTCATTTTCATATTTTTAGGATTAATTAGTAAATTATTTGTTTTATTAAAAAATAAAAATTACAAAAATGGCTCATTTTACATTTGTCACTTTTAAATTTTTAGATTATTGAATTTTCTCCGTTAATTTAGGATCAAGTAATTTTTATAAATTTTGCAATAAATAATTAGTTTAATTTTACAAATTAGATCAATTTACGATTTAATTTAGGATTTTAATTAATTATAGAAAAA